TCAGAACCAAGTCAGACTGGTGTAACGTATGTAACAGTACCTAGACCATACAGTTCTGTATGACAACTTTGGCCTTTATTTGTAAGTAAATACTGGATCTCACAGAAAATGCCAAGGTAGTAACTTTAGAGACAACAAATCTCTAACTGCAGGAGGACAGCATGTACAGCGGATTGCAAACTTCTTTTTGGTGAATGTACGATCCTAATGTTTTAGACTGAAATATAATCCACCTATTCTATCAACAATTGGTATATTTATACCAGAAATGTACATTTGGAATTAGAACATAGCAGTTTTTTAGAAATACCGTATAGAAATACAGAAATTATGTGAGTATGCCAAAAAGGGTATTTTACGTTTCCCATTAAGACGCTGCAAAGGTACCTCACTTTAAACAGAGGACCAGATGATACTGTATAAAGCTGCTGTACTGCAAATGGGTATTTTACAGCATATGGAAAGTACTAGTCTCTTATGTTGAGGAATCAGAGATCGTACTAATAGACATAACTTCTGGAGAATCTGGGGAAAGGATTTATTTCTGATTTCAACTACTAAAAATTCAGCAAACTTGCAGCGACCTTGCAGGACTACTCCATAACTCCAGAAAGGCTTGTTGTAAGATGCTTTGACTGTTGAAAGCTGGATCCAAAGACCAATAAAATCATGGAAGGATCTTCATTAACTTTAATATTCTTTAAAGCGGGCCAACAGTTATTTGATTGCAAAGAAATATTGGCTAATTTGGTTTTTCATTAAGAAATCTGCAAAAGTATATCTGTCAGTAATTCATATGCTCTTCGGAGAAAGATAAGGAAATGAGTGTATAAAGCCTTCATATCAATTTTCACAAGAATTATTTATCTTAAAACCATGCAAAAGATCCTGTCCAGTATGGTGGTTAAGTGTGCTTGTTGCTTTGTCATCATGGTCATCTACAGGCTCTCTGGTGGTCTCAAGAATCAGGCTTAAATTACCTTGAAATGCAGTTTCAAATATGAGAGGACTGGAGGTGGTTGGTCATCTCCTTTGGGCTACCAAGGGAATTTCGACCACTTTCTGAATGTCAGTCACTTCAAAAGATGCTAAAAACAGAGGCATCCACATGTGCATGATGAAATCTAGCAGATTTCCCTTACATCTTTTACAGAAATGCTCTTCGTCTGCATCATGTTAGAAGCTGAATGTTAGTTGCGTGACAGCTGAAGAGATGTACAAAACCAAAACCAACCTGTGTTCAAAACATGGTTGCTGTTTGAGTGCAGTCACAAGCAATATCATGTTTCCAAGTAAATACAAAGGAATTCTGTATACTGCTGCTGTGTGATGGACAAGGCATGTAGTCTTCTCAGAAAGTCTGTATTAAGCTGTTTACCAAATTCCCTAGAAGTTTTATTCATCTCTTCACCTGAAAGTTACTATAAAACTTTCAAAGTTACTAAAAAACTTTTCTATGTCATTGATTCAAAATCACAAAAATGTTTTTCCTGCCTTCTAATTTTGCCATGTGAGTCACTTGTTTTGGTAGTCTGAAGTTTAGAGGCTTGCTTCTTTTCTGTTGTTTTACACGTGGGTAATTCCAGTATAGTTATTTCCTGCCTTACATCACAGTGAAGAGTAAGACATACCAGATTTGGGCTGTGAATGTTATGTATCAAACAACACTAGGTGTATTCTGCCAGTTAAAGACGGTCAGGAATTTTTTGATGACATGTTTTATTTTTCCCTTTAAGAAATGTTAGTTCGTCGAGGGCTTTCTGTTTCAACATAATCCAGTAGAATGAAAACTGGTTTCCGGATAGTCCAGTGGGCAGGTTGTGGATCCAGGTACTGTGTAGGAGCCTGGGAGCCATTGGCAATAAGGACTTCTTGGCTACCACATTTCCTGCCATACTCTCAAACATGCAGGAACTGGCTCTCAGCTCCCAGCTCGGCAGAGGGGAGCCTGGGAACCTAGAAAATGCTGATTTGGCTGAGATCTGCAGGCTCCCTTCTGCAGAATTGAATGAGGTTGCTTTAGCCATGTTTCCCCTGGCCTTTGTGTCTCACCCTTGGATAAGGAGTTGAGAAATATTCAGAACCGCACAAGGACTAGGATGCTTGAGCTTCCTGCAGAAGGGGGTTTATAGCTGGTAGTCATGTCAGAGATCATGAATAATCAGAAGTACAGAATATGAAGAAGTTAAGCTGAGCCAGAAGGGGCCTCTGAGCTTAGAAGATGGGGCTACTAATTCAGTTTATTTAAATACATTTTTAAAAGTGGTTATTTCAAAACAATTTTTCCCTTTACATAACACTTTTCAAAATTGATCTTTATGAAATTTCACAAATACACTTTATCATGGAACAGAAAATCCTCTTTTTAACAGCTCTACTTTTAGCGGCAGAGGACTGTGTTCATCATCTTGGTCAATGCCAGACTGGTGCTCTGCCTGAGCTGAGTTGACAGAGCCTCAACTTTAATTCAATGATTTTTCTTCTGTGCTTTGTTACAGTATTTTACTGTGAGTCAACCATACATTCATTACATTCTCCCTAAGGTTCACTCTAGTTCTTGACATGAACATATCAACAGCCAGCTGCAGTGACAAATAAGAGAAATTATGGGTTAAAACAAATTTCAAGAGGAAGATACTCCACTACCTGGAGATTTGCTCTGACTTTAATTTTGCAACAGTGAACACAGCCACTGCACTCCTTTTCAAAGAAAAGCACGTGACTACTTGATTCTTTTGGCACCTCTTTGTTTTTTATTTTATAAAATACTTCAATAAACCCATTTTCTCCCATGAACAAATAAGCTGGGGGAACTTGGGTTCATTTTCCTTTTTGATCAGAACATCAAGTTTTTTGCTCATATGTCACATTCTAAAAATCCAGTCATGTATAAGTGTAGTCATAGGTCTAATTAAAGACCTGAGGTGGAGGAATTAACCTGGTGTTCTTTTCAAGAATGTCACTGTGTGGCCACTGCCACAGGACCACACTGAGACTTCATGCAGCCAACATCATCAGTGTACCTTGATCGTATATTAAATAGTGATGTATACAGTAATACTGGACAACCAAATACAGGGAGGGATCTAGTGTGGCGAAGTGATTCAGTAATGAATTCAGATTAGCATCACAATTTTAGGAAGGCAGAATAATAAATATAATGCTTTGTCAGTGAAAACCTTTTGCAAAGACTTACTCCCTCCTCTGGAGCTCTGAGGAAGGTGTCTGCTTGTACTGTAATGACATTACTTCTGTAATGACACATCAGTGTCCCTCATCTCTTAGACTGATTTATTTTCAAAACTGGAAACAAGTTCAATAGTTTGTTATGTTAAATCAATCCAAGTGTATTTTATTGTAGTCTTGTAGCTTCTGTTTGTCTTTCTTACACAGCTGTTACGCTTATGCCAGAGACCTTGTTCTTGTATGAGGGGGGAGAAATATGTCTGTTGCACCAGTGAGGGAGACCCATAAATCTCTGTCTATTTCTAAAAGCTGGTTTGGCTTCTCATCCTAGATAGACTGTGGTCCCATGCATTAGAGAAAGTACAGTGTCAGATTAAAAACTGGCACTCTGAAGAGCACATCCAAAGTCAATAAATAAACCTTAATTTTTAAAGGTAAAAATGTAATGTTAGTAATGGTTGGCTCCTCTTTATATCAATATAAGAATCTGTTTATATTGATATAAAGAATCTGTACTAAGACTGTCTAAGAACTGACTGGGAAAACTTGCTGTCAAAACTCAGTGACTCTTCATAGCAGGTTCATATTTATGCTTTTGGGAGAAAGAAGGTAAAACTCTTAAAACAAAAAAAAACAACCTCCAAGCCCCCAACCAAACAAAAAAACAATGGCAAACAAAAAGTCTGCCCACAACCTCCCCTCCTCCCACACATAGCCAGTTCCTCAGTAGGTATAAAATTATATAGTACTTTAGAGTTCAATGAAGCTTTGAAAATTTATGAAAGTTCAGAACCTGATTCAATAAATTGCTGTCTCTGGAATGGGCTCTATGTATATCAGTATCTGTGTTGTTATCCCCATTTTCTTTATTTTCTTGGTATTTCAGATGTATCTTTGTATGTTAATGAAGACCAGTTTCATTGTGAGCTACCTCTTTCAGAAAGATTGTTTTACATGTAATTAAGAAAAAAAGGTGTATAATTTTTATATATGTGTACAGCGTATCTAATTCTTAATGAAATGATAGGGAAGGTCATATTGGAGTTCATAATGAACAATGGATCTAAAAAGATTTTAGCATGCCCTTGTTTTGGGATTCATTGCACCTTTAACCTAAAATATGTAAGTGCTATGAAATTAGTAATGAGAGGTTTTAAAGCCAAAAAATTAACCACATCTAGCTGAACCACAAAGTATCAACAGTGTTGAAGGTTGACATTATTCAAAGAAAACCAGGGCTTTTTGTAAAGTCATTTTAATTACATCAGTCATGTTGCAGCAAGGAATGCAAATATTCATATACTACAGATTGAGACTGCTCTGAAATGTTCTGACAATCTGTTATGTTTTGAGTGATGTTTCAACCCTATCACTCGAGGTTTTTTGTTTTGGGTTTTGTTGTTTTTTTTTTTTTTTATGACTATAAAAAACCACTACTCATCTCTGTCACATGCTGTACAGGATAAAAAGCCTTTCAGTTTTCTTAACAAGAATCAGACGGCCAGGGTGCTGCTGGAACACAGAGAATATGCCACTGTCTGTTCAAAGTACAGCTTAATGAGCCAGACTAAACACACTGGACAATAGAGCTGTGGGGGGAAAGGGCTTCTCGTGGATCTATGGATCAGCTGCAGCTTTAACATCTAACTAGTTTCATTTTTCATCTTTACAAGTTCCATTTCCTTGTTTTGTTGGTATAAACTGCATTTCTATGACTGGACTTTCCTGCTTAGGTGATGGGATTGTATGCTTTGAAAAAGGATATCGTGGATTATGCTAGAAATAATTTCTGTGTTTCTTTTTTTCTCTCATAGTCACGACCTATTCCCTCACACCTTACTTCAGCAGTTGCAGAGAGTATCCTGGCTTCCGCCTGTGAGAGTGAAAGCAGAAATGCTGCAAAAAGGATGCGGTTGGATAGACAGCAGGTACTGTGTTGTTTGGGGGTCTACCACATCCGTATTTATAAATGCACTGGACTCATTTACATAGGATGCCATGCAGAAGGGTGGTGCAATCCCTTATACGCTTCTTGCTAGCAAGAATGATTAAAATACAAAAGCTGTAATTTCTTCTTTAAATGAATACACAAGCATGTCTTTGTCTATATTTACATAAGCTGTATGAGGGCGTCTAGTATATTTATAATGTCCAGCTGGATGAAGCTATATGTTTGCTTTTTAATGGTTGTAGATTTCAAGGGTGTAGTGTGTAATCAGCTTGCTAGAATTAAAAGGAACAGAACATGCAGTATATATAATTCACATAAATAACAGAAAGGGTGCATGTATCCATGAGTCAGTATATTTATCTGTGCGCATACTCTCTTTCAAAATGTGTATACATTTCTAAATGTAAGGTGAAATAGTGTTTCTGAAAATACCTATTTGCCTGAAACAGAAAAGTTATTGTGATACCTAGCAAAATGCTGTCAATTAACTTGTTAGTGACTTTTTAAAGCTCATATCAATATTTATTTTATTTTTTCTTATGTGATTATTCACCTGTTATAGTACGTTAGGATTTTATTATTTTTAATTTGTTGAGAATTGCATGTTTTCTTTTATTTATTTTTTTTTTTTAAATCAAACTGGTAGCTCATTCCAGGCTTTGATTATTTAATTGCTGCACAGATACAGTTGAATGCCTAACATTCTTATAGCAAAGACTATTATGCTTTATTTCTCTTCATGATTATCACTAAGTCAAATCTTAGTAATGTCTCAATTGTTCAAAAATATGCTTCTCTCATGGTGGGTGACTTTTTTTTATGGAAAAGAACATTTTGTAAAAGAACTTTTTAATTTTATATGTAGTTCATTGAGTTCTTTCAGGTCGTGCCCTAACTGAATAAGAGGTTCCTACTGCTGCCCCTGGAACATTGATAGTTTAGGATGTGAGAATGGATATTGCTATTTCTTTTTGCTGTTACATTTTTTGTTAGTATTTTCATTCTTCCAGTATGTTTGCCTTAAGATTTACAAATCACATGGGATGTCAAAGCACCATAGTGTTAATTATGGCTTAGTTTAGAAGCAGTGCTCATTCAGATTCTGCAGGTTTTCTATTCTCTTATTCTCTGATTTTTCAGTGAAAATTAAAAAAAAAAAAACAACAACAAACCAACCAAACTGCAAAGTGGATGTGCTTTCCCCAAGGAAAACTGGAAAAGACTTGTGCAAACATCGGTTACTTTCATTGCACAGAATTGTGGATCAATTCCTTTTTCCAGCCAGGGTGAGGCAGAGTTTTCAAGTGATTTAAATGAGAATCCAATAATACTCTCCAGAGAGCCAGAGAGCTGTTGAAACAAAGACCATTTCAAAACTGTAGATGGAACTCAAAAAGCATATTAATAGGGGTTTTTTTCCTTTTCATGGTGGTATTACTATCACAGAAGGGTTTTGTAATTAGGTGATCTTAAGGTCATTTTCAACCCTAACTATTTTATGATTCTCTGATTGTTGAATGGCAAGGTATTTCTTTACTTTTCATTACAGAATTAAAAATCTGTAGGCAGAACAGCTCCCAGCTGATCACCTTAATTGCAATTATAATGTTAAAGTAGAAAAGCTGCTATGAAGGACAGGTGTTGGGTTCTGCTTCCTTCATCTCTGCCCTCTTTTTGGCTGCGAGTTCTGGGAACAATGTGGAGACAGTTGCAAATAGCACCAGCCATTTAATTCAGCAAGCATTAAATTAGCTGGGTTGATGTAGCTTTGGTGCTTGCAAAAGTATTTGTGAATTCAGGATAGATTTGCTGAATAGTTTTGGCTGGCAAAAAAATATGGGAATGTGTGTTAGGTAGCTTCATAAAACTTATAATGAGAAATTTACCCTGCAGGGTGGAATAGCTAAGACATTAAAGTAGTAAACCTTGGTTCTAGCCCCAGTTCCATTGAAATGTAATTATTTATTCTGAGTATGTGACTTTAACAAAGTAAACTGAGAGCAAAAAATTCCAGAATATTTCTGAGTGGAATATTTAACACACATTGCTCGGTTCTTATGCTGAGACGGGGAGTAAAAGGGTTCCATCCTTCTCTGCCTATTTTTTTTCTTTTACTTATCTTTAAATTTTCTTCACTTTTCTTACATATATCCAAAATAAAATATTTTCATTGGATTGTTTTTCCCAAACAAAGTAAGGTTGAAAAAGTTCAGTTCAGCATGTTGGTTTTACTCTTCCATAGCTCAAAAAAACCACATAAGCCTTGTTTTCTTGTTAACATATCTCTTCTTCTCCTTTTTAAATGTGAATTTCCAAAATTTGGCATTATACCAATGGGTGGACTCAGGCTTTGAGGACCCTTCAGTGGAAAGTTAGGAGGAGGAAAGGGCAAATAAGATTTGGATAATGAAAACAGCCATTTCATAAATTATTTCAAGAGATCTAATGGAGGACAAGCATTAGACAGTCCTGGAAAGTAGATTTTTAAGAGGATCTGGTAAGAGCACTCATTCACCACTTCCCCTCACAGCTGAATTGGAAGTGTTTTATTAAAGCTGCTTTATTCTTACACATAGAATCATAGAATCATAGAATGGTTTGGGTTGGAGAGGACCTTAAGATCACCTAGTTCCAACCCCCCTGCCGTGGGCAGGGACACCTTGCACTAAATTATGTCGCCCAGGGCTCTCTCTAACCTGGCCTTGAACACCGCCAGGGTTGGAGCATTCACAGCTTCCTCGGGCACCCTATTCCAGTGCCTCACCACCCTCACTGTGAAGAACTTCTTCCTTATATCTAATCTAAACTTCCCCTTTTTAAGTTTAAACCCATTACCCCTTGTCCTACCACTACAGTCCCTCTGAAGAGTCCCTCCACAGCATCCTTGTAGGCCCCCTTCAGGTACTGGAAGGCTGCTATGAGGTCTCCATGCAGCCTTCTCTTTTCCAGGCTGAACAGCCCCAACTTTCTCAGCCTGTCTTCATATATAGCACAGTGAAGGTCTGCCTTATTCTCCAGAGGGGTGATCTGCCTTAAAGTGAGATGTAATTGCATCCCCACCACAAACTTTTTCAGAATATTATCCATAAAATGTGAATTCATTAAGATCACAATGAGTGTTATGCCCAGTGCTGAAGCTAAGACAAAACTTCAGCAGCTTTCTCAATTCCTTTTCTTGTCTTGTTTATGCTCTTTCCTCCTCCATTTCTCTTCCTCTACTTGGCACAACACTGTTCCTGGGCAGGAAGTTCTGAGCATATTGCATGTACACCCCTAATGGAAGTCTGTACTTCAGTAAAAGAATATGAATTACCAGAGCAAATATGCTTCTGCCTACAGTGTTAATTTTACCAGTGGTTTGATGAATAAACATCTTGGGTATTGCTCAGCAAAAAGAACCAGTTTAAAAGTTAAAACTATGGAAACTTCCAAAAGCTCATTTTTTCTTTTGGACAGATAGAGTATTGGCCATAGAAATATAGAATCATAGAACAGTTTTGGTTGGAAGGGACCTTCAAAGGTCATCTAGTCCAACCCCCTCATAAGTATTAGCTGGTTTTTTCACAAGTAGTAAGTTTGAAGGGATGGCTTTATATACCTATAAACCTGTGCACAGATTCCTATCTCTTCAGAAGAAACCTTTCCAAAGTGTGTCTGTGCACACACAAATACTGCATTTTATGAATTACTTTCTAGAATTCTTTCTGATAGCTGCATTACTTAATATAGCACTGATCTGGGGATATTGTTAAGTCTGAAAGTGTGAACCAGGAAGAAACCATCCTTCTACCTATATGCTTTAAATTCCACTCACTTGATTTTTGTATTTCCTAACTCAAGGCTGAAAAAATCCAATTTTAAAAATAAGTTAATGAAAATTGGTCTCACTGGCATCAATTACTTATTTTCAATTTTTTTTTCATGACAATACTTTATTTCATAATGGGAAAATCAATGGGATCTTGTCTGTCAGGAAGCTGGTAACTTCCCATAGGTTTTGAACCGGTAACAATAAAAGCTTTGTCAGTTTCTGAGACTTCTCTGTAAGGAATACAAATGTGTTTACTAGATCATGGTAGCTTGGACTGTAATGCTTTGGCTGTCTGACTGTGTTAGATGTTACTCGAGTGCTCTCTTTAGCTTCAGTGCATTTTCATTATCTTGAGATCAAACTCTGTTGGTTGGCCAGAAGCTTAAGTGCCAAGAAGTTAAATATATAATAGATATTACACAACTGAAGAGTTCTGTTACTTCCAATTTTTAATTCTGCCATGTAGTACAAATAATTTATTCCCTTGCACAAATTTTATAGATTTATATATTGAAATTGTATATGTTCACTGATGCTACTGCCAGATGGCGAAATGATTATGACACTAGGCTGGATTTGACTGATCTTTCCCAGTCCAGATCAGGCAGTGGGTACAGAGGCAATGCAGAGCTTTTGTGTTGCACTCCAAAACATCTCTGATGAATCTGGATATTGAAAAAGGGCAACTCCAGTCTTGAATTTTGAGGATTTTTTCCATCACAGTTGATAAGAAATGTAAAATCTCTAACTGGATTGACTTTCTAGGACTTGCTTCATTCAGAGAGAGGCGTTACCTGAATCCTTAAGATTTCATGTGCTTGTGAGTGATATCTTGGGATGATTTGCTAGGATAATCCTTCAAGATCCTTATTACATCTCTAGCAATAGTCAGTGTGGAGCGGTTGCATAGGAGGTTCTGGACTACTGTCAACAAAGGTGTCATGAAACAAACTAAGTAAAGCTAAAATACAGCCCTTTTTACATGCATTCATTACATATGGTGAACAGGCTTAAGGTTCCCCTCCCCCAGAAACTTTACGTCAAAGCCTTTTTACACCATCTTGGCAAGCCTGTGACCAATGGCCTGTGCTGACTTCCTTTAATTCTTCACATGAGATCATACTTGGAGATGGCTGCCAGGACAACTTTGCTGTTGCAAGAATATT